TGGAAACTTTAGACGAACATTTTCCACTTCTTCCCCTTGAATTTTGTCGTCTATTTTTCTTTCCCCCTTAGCACGCAAGACATCCATCAAATCATTTGTATTGTCTATAATGTGTAGAGTGGGATGGGGATCTGTTAGCCATGATGGAAGAAGAAAATCTTATCCAACGTTGTTTTAAAAATTGCTATTTTCAAAATGAAACCGGCTCAACGATCCGGACGCTATTTAATATTCTAAAAAGAAAAGGGGCTTATTTTAATTTCTGAAAACGTCTTTTCGATTGGCAGAGTAGTAATGGCGTCGTGATCAAAGCATTTTAAAAAAATAAGAAGATAGCTTTTTTTATGGCCAATGAGGTAATTTAAATGTTTCTTCATAAAAAGGAAATAAGATTAGTAGAAAAAAAAACAAGAAATACAGTAAAAAAGAATAAATAAATAACATAGCTTCCCTATGCCTTTTCTATAAAGACTTTCTGATGAACTTTCCTCCATGGAACAGAGACTAAATTTATGCACAACTCTGCAGGGCGGTCTAAAAGTCTTGTCACCCTTATATAATATAATTTTCTATTTCAGATGGCTGACACAAGTTCCTACCCGAAAAGGATGGTGTTCATACAGACCTTCCGGATGTATGACAGCGTTACTGTAAGTGAATCCAGGACATGCACTTTGTATTACTGTATTACCTGTTCTTCTATTGTTCTCATTACTTTTTTGTATAGGGTGACAAGACTTTCAGACCACCCTGTAGCTTAGCGAAAAAGCTCTCATCATTTTACATTTGAAAATAGCTAGATTTAACCGTAAGTTCTATTCTAACAGTTTCTTCTTTCACGCTTCTCACTTGTGGAACTCTCTTCCGGCTTCTTGCTTCCTGGTCAAGTTTGAATTTAAAAGCAATATCAAACGCTATCTTCTGTCTTCATAATTCTTAGTTCTTTTATTGTCCTCTCTCCTTAGTTTTTTCTCATATTTCCTAACACTCAGTAACATATTACGGCTTAGTGGCTTTATTGCCTTGTTTGGTGTGAAATGATTAAAACAAATAAAATAAATAAATAAATAACCAAAAAAAGGAAAGAAACTGTCGAAAAAGAGATTATTGAAAGGTAGAAGGGTAGTAAGGCAAGGATGCGTCTTCTCACCGGACCTGTTCAACCTGTACAGCGTGGCAATTCTGAGAAAATTGGAATCCCTACCAGGATTTAACATTGGCGTCCACAACCTTAACAACATAAGAACGCAGTACTGATAGCAGGCACGGAAAAGAAATTACAAAATCTCCTACAGATGGTAGCGACGGAGAGTGAGAAGAAAGGACTAAACATAAGCGACAAGAAGACAGAATGCATGGTCGTCAGTAAGAGGAAGAGCCCGAAATGCGATTTGCAGGTCGGAAACACTAGAATCAAGCAGACGCAGGAGTTTAAATATCTGGGAAGCGTTTTGACAGAGGACGGTAAGTGCGACACTGAGATCTGTAGACGTATTGGGATGGCCAAGGACACATTCCAAAAACCGGGCAGAGTATTGCGAGACAGGAGGGTTACTTTACTGTTCGAACTGCAAGTCGCCTGCTTCAATGCTTTGCCTTTTTTTTATTATAAGTAACTCTATAGTGATTTTACTGACACCCCGTATAGTCCCCAGTAAAAACAGGGAAATATAATTTAGATTTAATAAAATTGGAAGAGAAGACAATGAAAAGTGCTGAACTACTGTGTAATATCTGATTTGTTTTATCATTTCATACCAAAGAAGACAATAAAGCCACTAAGACGCAATAGGGTGCACTGAAGATGAAAGACAATAGAGGGATAGAAACCAATAAAACATTACTGGGGAAAAAAAAATAATCAAAAGAAGAGGATTCAATAAGACAGGGTGATGATTGACGTTGCATTTAAATTTCTGTAGTTTGTAGATGACAGGAACACAAGAAGCTGGAAGGAAGTTTCATAATCGAGAAGAAACGTTCAGAATAGAACTTACGGTTGCATTTAGTAATTTTACTAATAAAATAACTGTCATCATGTATTGCATAGCCTCTTGGTTGTGGTGGTCTCATCTCGTCTTCTCTTGGCCGGTGATCGCTACTTGCTTTAGTTAGCAATGAATAACATCAAACACGGAGACTTTTAACTTACATTGACGTACATTTTTTGACTATCCCGTGAGGTCGCTCCCCCCCGAACTGGGGATCCGTTCCAGACACGAAAGTGAACATATCTATATTGCTTGACGTGTAAGAACCAACCCTCTGAAAAACTTTTCTCTATCTATCTCTGCTAATCAAAATCAACTCCTTTATTATGGCTTGCATCTGACCTCGAAGGTCAACCTCCGGAAGTCGAAGCCAACATACGCTTCCACTAAAAGACAATAGTCTGCTAAAGTATTATTTTAACATATACGGCAGTGAATGCTGGGTAACAAATAAAGAGAATTGAAGCGACGAGAAATGGTAAAAATGCAATGAACAGGACATGTGAGTAACGTAGAAATCTGAAAGAAAATAAGAACAAAATAAATTATACTTGGGGTCAGGAAGAGAGAACTGCAACTCGCGGGACACGTAATTATGAAAGAGATCCTGAAGAATTTTAACACTCATAGAACTTTTTTTTTTCTAAATCATTTCACCCCAAACAAGGCAATAAAGCCACTAAGACACAAGATTTCCCTGAGTGCGAAAGTACAGGGTGTCCCCCCACAATTGACATAAGTTAAAATGTGAATATCTGAGTAACGATGTGTCCCAGGCAAGCGAATTTAAATAAACTTCATGTTGAACAATAACTGATTTATTTACCAAAATTCGAACACGATATTCAAAGGGGTGTAGATTTTATAAACTGATTTCATAAAACTTCACAAATATTCAATATGCGCACCACCTGTGATACGACACACGTCAGGTCGGTAGCCCAGCTCCTGCCAAACACGCAGTAGCATGTCTTGCGTAACACTGTCCAACGTCTCAGTGTTCCACTGCTTAAGTTCCTCTCGGTTTGTAGCAAGAAGTGGGGATATAGAACTGTCCTTTCACATAAGTGTCATACCGGACGTACCTATTCTATTATTAATAGACTCTGCCACACATAATAAGTAGTAGTAGTAGTAGTAGTAGCAGTGGCCAGTTGGGCTCAGTGGTGTTGAGCGAGTCAGTCGATATCGGACATTTAAGTACTAACCATCACAACTAGATTACTGCGTCATTAACTCTTATTTCAAGTTCCTAACGTTTTGTACGTCGAACCTAATTTAGGACGACTTATTGAAATACAAGCCCCCAATGTGAAAACTACTCTACAACATTTGGCGACGAGGGATTCGTTTCTTACATGAGAAAAGAAAATGTTTTCGTTCACTTTACTACAACAATAAATCGTACGACGAATCCGAGTTTCCATAGATTCTCTTCTTACAGACATTCTGGGGGTTTTTACAAATGTCTCCCGAGCTCGGTGGTCTTCCAGATCCCTTTGCCCTGCACACACAGTTTTCCTCTTTTGAATTTGTAGTGCCAGGTCTAAATCTGCTTTCCAGTTTGTGCATTTTCCTTGCATTTTCTCGAAAATACACGCTGCACACTCTTCTTTGACTGTGTTCGATCATATTCTGACACACAAAATGCCTTTTTCATTTCTAATCATTGTTCACCCTGGAAAGAACAAAAAAAAATTAAACATTCAACTTTGTTTTTACACATTTTGTTATGATTTCAGATTATTTGTTATTTGACAACAAAAATTATATCCATTTTTGAGGATTCCATGTATATGAGAGAGAGAAAAAAACAGTATTAAAGAAGAGAAAAATAAAAGAACAGGATGAGGATTTATCATTATTTAGACTATTTATATTCAGACTATTATCCTCATCATAACATAGTGTTTTACTGGAACATACCTATTCTATTATTAATAGACTCTCCCACCTATAATAAGTAGTAGTAGTAGTAGTAACAGTCGCGAAGAGCTCAGTGAGTTGGTCAGGCAGTCGATGTCGGACATTAAAGTATCAGCCACCGCAACTAGATTGCTGCGTCATTAACTATTATATCAAGTTCCTAACGTTTTGTACGTCGAACCTTTTTAGAACCGACTTAGTGAAATACAAGCCTCCAATGTGAAACTACTCTATAACAACTTTGGCGACGAGGGATTCGTTCTCATACGGAGGAAGAAAAACTTTTCGTACTCTATAACACATAGTAATTGTGATTTCAATCCCTGAACCGGTCTGTGTGTACTGAAACTCAAGGGAAACGGGTGAGCAAAACTTTAAGCAATGCAAAAAATAAGAACTAAACCAGATACCCCTCGACATGTGCAGTGGAACAAGGATAGTCTACCTTCGTAGATTATTTAAAAGATTTGGTTCAAATTTCCCTATAGGTTACCCAGTTCGATATACACCTGATGAGGGCCGTAGGTCACAACCGCCTAAACGTTATAATAACAACAACAAAGATGCGAACGATAGAGCGAATATAAACACTATAAACAAACAAAAACAGTTAATTAAGAAGACAGACGATAACGATTAACATCGCATTAACATTTTTAAAGGTAAAAGTTGAAAAAAAAAGCAAGAAGACGAAAGAGAGTTACACAAGCGAGAAATACCAAATACAAAGTGTTAGCACATAACTTACGTTTGGATCTAGCAATTTCAACTACAAAATGATGAGACCTAACTGCCAATCTAGAAGTAATGACTGATTTGCTTTTGACGGCTTATCAACCATTTGCGGCTTATTCAAAGCCATAAAATATGTTTACATTGTAAGAATTTAAAAAAAAATAATAATGATTTAGTGATAAAAGTTTTACTAATTAACCCATATGTAGGGGGAGGAAGAGGTAGATCAATACCTTTCCTAAGGGTATTTGATCGTAAGGGAATATAACGAATCCAACTGGAATTGGAATACGGCTCTCCGATAAACAATTCCGAGCCATTATCGATTACACCACCCGTACATCCAAGCTTACAGCACTTGCTATTCTAAGTGGTCACCCATCGAGGTACTAACCAAGTTCGACGTTGCTTAACTTCGGCGATTGTACGGGAACCGTCGTTTCAACGTGATATAACCGTAAGCTCTGGTAGCTTAAATTCGAGAAAGTGGAAAGTGCATCTGAAAAGTTACTGTACTGAAGCGGAAGCTGGGGAAACAAGTAACCTACTTAACGAGTTTGTATATATAGACCGACAAAGTGGGGTGGTAAACTGTAAAAAATCAGGACGTTGTGGAGAGACATGATCCCCCATATCCTGAAAGGTCATTGCACTTAAAAGAAAAAAAAATGGAGCGTGGAAAGAAAATAGCAAAACGAAAAAGTCAATAAATTATTTCAACAAAAGAGAAATAAAAAAAAAATAAAAAGAGGGGAGCGAAACTAACGAAGAAATAATGTTACATTTCTGTGAAATGCTCTCCGAGATTGACGAAAAGCGCTTGGAGAGGAGATGGGCGCCGGCGGGCTATCTAAAAGGATCACGAGGAAGAAGAATCAAAGCAACACCATACCGGATCGGTCGAGGCCCGGATCGGTCGAGGCCCAGATCGGTCGAGGCCCGGATCGGTCGAGGCCCAGATCGGTCGAGGCCCGGATCGGTCGAGGCCCAGATCGGTCGAGGCCCGGATCGGTCGAGGCCCAGATCGGTCGAGGGCCGGATCGGTCGAGGCCCAGATCGGTCGAGGCCCAGATCGGTCGAGGCCCGGATCGGTCGAGGCCCAGATCGGTCGAGGCCCGGATCGGTCGAGGCCCAGATCGGTCGAGGCCCGGATCGGTCGAGGCCTGGATCGGTCGAGGCCTGGATCGGTCGAGGCCTGGATCGGTCGAGGCCCGGATCGGTCGAGGCCCGGATCAACAACGACCGCGCGTCCCAATGACTCACTCCAGAATGGGAGTGACAAATGGACGACCGAAGCGACAAACGCCACCAAGCTACCAACGAACGTACAAACATCGGAACATGCAACGTTCGCATCCCCTATGCTTTTATAGACAGACAAGACGTTGCCGAAACTCCTGAGAGCCACCGCGAACAGATCATTCCGGAGGAAGATGTCTTCTCCAGGTCCTTTCGACGATTGAAGCACTCGGGGGAGTGATGATGATGATTGACGGAAAATATTGAAATACTGCTGTTAGCATTTATATTTTAATGCTTTGGGTATTATAATTTGATAACGACACATATGTAAAGATGTAGGCGAACCTTTTCATCTCATTCATAATCACGTGTTAACTATTCACTTCAAGACTAAGCCTTGTGTCAGTAGAGCACAGAGTATAGAAAGATTTGTCCTACTTCTATCTCGGTAGCTGAACAATCGGTCCACAAAATCACCTTGACATTCCTATACAGAAATATATTTCTTTTCATTAGCTTAAGAAAAAAAAACACGAACGCGGTTTATTATTCCTTTATGTACCGTGTCCCTTCAGGACGTGGGTGACCACGGTTCTCCATAACTTCCTATCCCTTGTATTATAAATAGCCGAAGAAAAACCTGTCTGTAAAAAAAAATTTCACCTAAACCCCTAAACTTTTCTTTCTCAAAAATTCATGGTATTCATACCAATTTCTGTAGTGTAAAATCTTTTCTTATAAAACGCTTCTCCAGTTATCTCAGCACGTTTTGAAACTAACTTAAAACTCTTCTATCTCTATCACTGATTTCTTTTTTTTCCGGGTTATCTTTATCGAAAAGATTCTAGGATACATATGTATGGTTGTGGTGTTTGCGTTCTTGAAAATCACCCGATAATAAGGGAATTGTCTCTTGTGTCGGATGATTCTTTCATGTGCTTTCAACTACCGCTAAACACTGTTAGCTAGCTCTTCTTTTTTTTATCGCTCTTTTTCTTCTCAACACTGGAGTATGTTAGACAAAATATCTCTTCCTCCTTTATCGCCCCCTTCTTCTCAGGACTGTAGCATGTCACACAAAATATCTCTTCTTCCTTCATCATTCCCCTTCTTCTCAGGACTGTAGAATGTTAGAAAAATTATCTCTTCTTTCTTTATCACTCCCCTTTTCCTCCGGACTGTAGAATGACAGAAAATTATCTCTTCTTCCTTTATCGCCCCCTTCTTCTCAGGACTGTAGCATGTCACACAAAATATCTCTTCTTCCTTTATCACTCCCCTTCTTCTCAGGACTTAGCATGTTCTTCCTCTTTTATCGCCCCCTTCTTCTCAAGACTGTAGCATGTTAGACAAAATATCTCTTCTTCCTTTATCGCTCCCCTTCTTCTCAGGACTGTAGCATGTTAGACAAAATATCTGACAGTATAGAAATCTCACTCTCCCTCACACACTCTCTCTCTCTCTCTCTCTCCTTCTCTCTATTTCTCTCCCTCTACATTAATCTGCGAACATGTATTTGTCGATTTTAATGTTCATGTCAAGTGGTTTAAACATCCTAAGACTAATGCTGCTGCCGGTAATCAGATTTTCAATTTTTCAGTTTCTCAGTCCCTCAACCAAATAGTAGATTTTCCTACTCGTTTCCCTACTAATCTTGACTAACACGTTTCTTTCCCCGATTTGTTTCTTACCGACTATCCTGGTCATGTGCCGGGCATCGCGACTCTGTCCTCTTGGCAATTAGGATCACGCTGCCGTATCTGTTGATACTTCTTTTGACTCATCTGCGAAATATGAACTTTCTATTCACTAGACTTCCTTCTGCTATCAGCGTACCGATTGGGATTCACTTCACGATTTTCTTCACGACGTCCATGAAGTGAAATCTTTAATCTTCTCATTGAAAATTCTGCTACCGAGGTTTCTTCTTGGCTGAAAACCGACACCGATGCTTTTGCGCCATATCGGAAATACCACGTGAAACTACAATCTTCTTCTTGGTTCAAACTAGCCTGTTCAGCCGCTATAGTTCGCAGTAGTCATTTTTTTCTGACTATAAATACGCGATAGCTCTGTCCGTTCGTAATAATTGCAAACGTGTCCTCAATGATATTATGTAATGGCAGCTCTGTAAGGGTGTATTAAAAAAATGTCCTCGATCCTTTCTCTCTTCAGTTAATTCAAAATATTGTCAACTACTGCTGATAAAGCAGACTGCTTTGCTCGTAAATTCTGTTCCAATTCTAGTTTTCCTGATTTTCCACTTAGAACGCAGTGTCTACTTTATGATATGCATCCGTCCATGGTTTCCGCTAGCATATCCAAACTTGATCCACACAGAGTATGCGAATTCTAGGGTAACCTTGCAATTCTCCTAAAAATGTGCTTCTTGACTTGGTCCTGATCTCTCTAAAATCTGCAACTAATGCCTTGTTGTTTCTTGCTTTCCAGGATTGTTGGAAATCCTCTTCAGTGATTCCTGTTTTAGAAGAACTCGGGCGAAATCAATGTATCGGCCTATTTGCCTTCTACCTCTTTTTGGCAAAGTATTAGGGGTCCTTATTAACTCCTAATTGGTTAAACATCTGACTTCACATCTAACAAATAATATGGCTTTCGCTTCTCTATTTCAATCGCTGTTGTTTTCACTATGGCTGATTTCGAGTTGTGGCTTTAGAAATCTCGAAGGCGTTTAACAGGCTGATCTTCGTCACACGTTGAAGGGTTATGGTGTGTCTGACCTAATTGTTTTTTTTTTAACAAATTGCGTAATGAAAATCATCTTGAATGGCCACTCTTCTAGGTCTTTTAGCATTAATGCAGATATTCCCCAGCGCGCTATGCTTGGATCTATTTTCTTATTCTCCTCAACGACCTTCCTGATATTATCAGTTCCCTACTCGGTATCTATACTGATCACACAACTATTTAATCCGGTCTTAATAGTAAGCCTGACAGGTTCAACAGTCAAACTGGCAACTAAGCTCGAAAATGAACTTCCGTCTTGTTATGGGATCTTACCCATAATAATAATAATAATGGACTATTCCATACTTAATAAATACTGCACCTCAGGAGTAGGTAAGGAGTCAGTAGTTCAAGAGGAGTGAGTAGTTCAAGTCGAGTCAAGAGTCGAGTCAGAGGCAGTCCGAAACAGAGTCACGTTCAGATAATTACTGCAAGACATTGGAATAGTGATACTGGTCGAGACTACATTGTTCTCTCTACTAAACCTGATTGTCATACTAACACTTCTACTTCTCTGTATATATTCCTGTTTGTAATATATCTGTGTTATTCCATACCTGTTTTCGAGTTCTTCTTTATTGGTTCTACCTTGGACTATCACCGTGGTACAAAGAATCGGACCATAACAAGTCTATTGTTAATTGGAGAAAGACACGGCTTGTTAATTTTAACGCTTCTAAAACGAAACTACAGTTTTTAATATTCTTAAAGAACATTTTTGTCTTCTTTCAGTATGGCTGATGCTAACCCCAAGGAGAATGGCTTATTGCTCCTTCACGTTCTAACGCTTTTCACTGATGTGATTACATTGAATAAATTGATAGGTCTGCTGGTAGGAAAGTTAAATTCACTGTGTCGTGCTAATCAATTATTGTCGCTCGATTCCATCTTACATATTAAATATTACTGTCGCGATCTAGACAGTTGCTTCTGCTATATATCTAGAGATTTGAAAAAACACAAAGTAGAATCTGCAATGTAATCGGTCATGACCTTGTATCTAGGTTTCAGACACTTTGTCACCGCCTACCGTAGCTTCCATGAACCTTTTCTAAAAATATTTTTCATGTTCAGATGAGCTATCTTTAGGAATTTAAGCGCGATACTAAACTGGTAGTTAGATCTCGTAATTTCACAGTTGAAATTGCTAGATGTAACCAAAAGTTAATTGTTTCTACATTCGCACTTGTCACTTGTGGAACTCTTTTACGGTTTCTTGTTTTCCTTTCAATTACCATAATCAAAAATTTAAATGCAACGTCAATCTTCGACATCTGTCTCCTTGAAACCTTTTCTTTTATTGTCCTTTCTTCACAATAACGTTCTTTCAGTTTCTTTCACACTCAGTAACCCTTTACGTCTCAATGGCTTTATTGCCTTCTTAAGGATGTAATGATTAAAAAAAATAAGTCTCATTAATTCTTGTCTTTTTTGCTCTACCCACCCCTATTCTGCGATCCATTCACAAAAG